TTTCCTTCCGGTAACGGTAGCCTTGTTGTTGCCACTTCCACTGGGGAGCCTTCACTGCAACAAGGTTGATTGTCATACTCGAAAATCCTGCAGAAAACAGCTGCAACTATGAGTTTTTCGGAGGCATTTAAATTATTGAATTAGTTATACTTTCCTTAATCTTAACTATTTAAGTATTATTTGGTTCAAGATATAACTAGTGTAATGTACAATTTATGTTAATTAATCTAGTTTTTGTTTATATTAAAATTATTAGGATATATACGTGGGGACCATGAATTGATTTGTACTAAAACTGGGGAGATTATTTTTGTTTTGTTTTTAATCTGCCTCGTGATGTTTATGTGTTTGCTGTTTGAAACTGCTGAGATTGTTTTTGTTTATGGATTATAAGTTCTGGATATTGAAGTGGGAATCAGGCAATGTCTGTAAACAGATACTGGTCAAACTGTAAAGAAAATTAATTCACTGATTAGATTATTGGATGTTAGAACCTTTTCTTAGGAGAATATTGTGAAGCATTTTCTGCAACTGGTATTACACTGAATAAGAATGTTGCAATTAGGTATATCCTGTGCCATTTACATGCTGTTCAAGCGTATGGCACCTGCATGTATATATATGAATGCATGTATATATGAGAAGCAGTAAAGAAAAGAAAGAAAAAAAATCAAAATTTGAAATTCAAATATTTAATGAGAAGATAAGTACTCATAGGTTTAGCTTAGTATAGTAGCTTCCAATAGCCAAGGATAACATTACTTAATAGCTGTAGAATATAATTCATAGATGTCCATGCAGATTTTTATCTAAACTTCTATGCCCCAAAGCTTCCAAAAACTCCCTATAAGAGGACAATTTGTTGCAACTTTAAGTATTTGAACTTCAGAATTATTGAAATCAGTATACAGAATATTGAGTCATTGAACTCTTGAAAAATTAGTGATAGCATTTTGCACAGTAATAGGTCTTGAAGATGGTTTCTTTCAGAAAAAAAAGTATTGAAAATGGTTGGCGTGACTGTTGAAAAATATTATCTTGACAAAATATATACATTATGCACACACATATAGATATATTAGTTTTGTAATCTTTAGTTGCTGCTGCTTTAGGGCCAAGGTTCATGGCTTATGGTTTTTCTAGGGGCTGCCTTTGTCTACTTTGCAAGTGATTGGCTTGCTCAGTTTTATTCATGCTTCTCCTTTGTTTGTTCTACTTTTTCTACTTCTATAGGAGCATATCTTATTCTCACCTTTATACATGTCTTATCTCTTTTAGTAGTACTTCTTTTCTTATCAAAAGAAACAAGAAAATCCTTACGTGCTTCTGATCAAGAAAAGAACTAGAACTTCTTGAATTTTTTCCTGATGTACAGTCTTTAATCTTTCTCAATTTTGATAAAATTTTTCTTAGTAGAAAAGTAAGTGTTATAAACTAAATGCAGTAAAGGGTTGCCACCCAAGTACAAAAAGAAACAAAATTTTGACAAAGAATAAATATCGATAATATTACTAGATAGAAAAAAGATTCGAAAAATGAGTTGGCATCTCATACTCCTGCTTTTATGGTAAAAACATGGTCTAAGTTTCTACATATTCAATT